ATGATGTGTACAAGGCTGTACTTCGCCTCAGCCAATCGGATTGGTCACATTTTTGCCGACCTGATGATGGTTAATTTCGGTCTTGCTGTTAACTTCGACCATTCTCTGTGTACATTGTTTTGTATGTATATTCCCACATATATGTACATCTGCATGTACGTGTATGTTGCAAAAGTGTATAACCACACCTTACGTCGGTCAATCGGGGTTCTAGCATGTCTGTGGTTACAATAGGCATATGGTAATTCCAGTGATAGCTGCCAGGGAGCGGTGGTTGTAAGGGTGGTTTGCAACTGAACATGTCTATGTGTGTTCATCTTGTACACCGCCTACTCGACCTAATAGTAGCATGTGTATGTGGTGTTGGGTGACTGTTCCCATGCTCATACTCCATCGTAATTAACCTTTGAAACTGTTGTCCCCACAGCAAAATGAAGAGCAGTCTCAAAGGTTCAGTCAAGTTTCTATTCCAGCCCGCGGAGGTGAGTGTGCGCGCTTACCCATCCATTTGCGATGTTATTAAATGTCTTAAATACACGCGCCGCTAGTCATGTAGATCATAGTGAACCATCGGCTCTTGTTGGATAGATCAACTAGCAATCCAGCGTTGTAGATAGCGTGTGGACCCATCCCATCCCCCTAGCTCAGTATCAGTGTCCTGTATACGACACACTCAATAACAGCATCCCATGAATGGTACTCTCAGTATAAAGTATCTCTGATATCACAGGAAGGTGGAGGAGGCGCGCGTAAGATGATAGCGGACAGGTGCCTGGAGAACCCGCATGTCGATGAGGTGTATGGTATTCATGTGTGGAACTACCTGCCTACTGGGACCGTGGATGTGGTGGTAAGGCTTTCGTTCTGTGTTCTCTGACTGTGCTGGTGTATTGCGGTATATGCTGTGCTCGAAGTAAGGCTGTATAGTTAGATACACATTAGGGTTTTCGATCGACAGTGTCGATGTTGTAGGTAGCACTTTTGGTATCACGATGTGCATGGACTGCTTGTGTGGGATTGCTGTTAACCCTGTAACAGGTGCTCGTGGTGTTATTCCGACTCTCACGTAGGCTCGGATCACATAAAAATAGTGAATGTATGTCAGATGGGGTTTGGAATACTTACAGGTACGAACTACGAGCATTTAAAGAAAGATCTTTTTATATATATGTTATGTTCTCCCGTTTGTATCAAGTGTACTGTCCTTTTGAAGCATATACCCCCACCCCCAGGACAGTCTGTTATAAGAAGCAGCTATTTGTGCCATGATACATTCCTACGCCTTTAGTGTGACGAAGTGGAGCCTTCAGTGTAATCGGTGCACTCATCGAGTTTTTCCTCATTGGTGGTATATAATTATGGGAGTACATTCCGGTATTCGATCTGATAATAGTTTAGAATGACGCATGCATTCCTAAAGCACATGTACGCAAATAGTCTTATTTGTACGTATGTACTTTCCTTAACTATAGTTGTGGGCTGGGCAGATAGGCATATTCATACTCGTGCATTACATTGCAACGGGCATTGTAATAGCATCACTTACCAGCCTGGTGATATGCACCATATGTGCATACGCACGCCTCGTCCACTCCAAGGCGGTCTTGTATCGCGTATCTTGACGCAGCTATCTATTGCTATTAACAAACCTATTCGTAAACAAATTCCTGCATGTCATCTCCTGGAATGGGGGACAGCATCCGACTCCCTAGCGATAGCGATAGACACATACATCTATATCTTTTAACATCCATGTATGTTCACGTGCATATACACACATGCCATAAACACGTGGTCGCTTTCACTCTAGGACGGGCCTGTCATTTTAACATCCCTGTATGTTCACGTGCATCTCCACACATACCATAAACACGTGGTCGCTCTCGCTCTAGGACGGGCCTGTCATGGCTGCGTCTGACTCGTTCACCATAACCATCAACGGTCTCGGAGGGCATGGCGCTGTACCAGAGGGCACTGTCGATGCTGTGCTTGTGAGCGGACACCTGATAACTGCTCTGCACTCGATCGTTTCGCGGTATGTTGATGTGGTTATGGTTCTCTTTTTGTATATACCCACTTCGTAGGCTGCTTGTTGATGTGGTTATGGTTCTCCTTTTGTATATACCCACTTCGTAGGCTGCTAGTTGATGTGGTTATGGTTCTCTTTTTGTATACACCCACTTCGTAGGCTGCTAGTTGATGTGGTTATGGTTCTG